AGCGAGAGCACACAAGGGAGTGAGGATAGGTAAGACACCTAAAAAATTAGCTAGCATTTGTTGCCCTTAACGCAGAGAAACTAAAGCAGATACCTTAAAAGCAACTGAGGCCAATAGGAAAAGGGACCAGGAACTAGAGAAAGGTTAGATCAAAAAGAATTAACCTAGAAGGTAACACACACGCACAGGAAATTAATGTGAGTCAACTCCCTGTATAGCTATCCTTATCTCAACTAGCAAAAACCCTTGTTCCTTCCTATTATTGCTTATACTCTCTCTTCAACAAAATTAGAGATAAGGGCAAAATAGTTTCTGCCAGGTAGCGAGGGGGTGGGGAGGAGAGGAGGGGGCGGGGTGCATGGTAAGGGAGGGGGTGGGGGCAGGGGGGAGAAATGACCCAAGCATTGTATGCACATATGAATAATAAAAAAATAAAAATTAAAAAAAAATAGGGGGCTTGGCTGAAGGGAGGATTGCTGAAGGGAAAAGAATTGCTGAAGGTGAATTGCTAAAGGGGAATTGCTAAAAAGGGGTTAATAAAAATTGGTTGGCAGCTTGCAAGAGAACAGCCACTGTTGATTGTCTGCAAGTCCGAGGGCTGAGACTTTAAGAAAGCTGAAGAGAGAACATGGGATAGTGCCAAGTTGATGGGACAGTGCAAGTCTGAAGGCAAAGACTTTAAGAGAGATTGTGCTAAAGAAAATCTAAGATAAAACATGGGATAGAGCGAGTGTAAGCAAAGAGACTTTAAAGAACAGAAAAGACTTTAGAAGTGAAATTTTAAAGAACAGAAAGAAGAAAGACTTTAGAAGCAAGGTTTTAAAGAACTGTAAAGGAGTAAGGCCTTAAGAATAAAGATAGAGAAAGAAGCAAAGTAAATGAAGAGAATATTAGAGAAAAGAAGCAATGAGGCTGCAATGTGTCTCTATCCACACGCCCAGCACACCTGATCCAACTTTCTGAATGTCTGTCTCTCTATCCTGTGTCCTTTAAAACTTGTTGTATGTGTGTTTCTGCTTTTGCATCTCCCCATCGCCCCCAGTTAGCCCTGGTTAGGTTCAGTAGTAACAGGACAAGAAAAGCTCGCTTCAACTAGAAATCATTACACTAAGTGAAATAAGCCAGGCACAGAAAGACAAATGCTGTATGATCTCACTTATATATGAGCCTAAAATTGATATCATAGAAACAGAGAATGGTGACTACTAGGGGCCAGGGAACGAGGAAGGTGGAAAGGTTGATCAGTAAGTGTAAGTTGTGGCTGGATAGGAACAAGAAATTCTGGTGTGCTATTGCACATTAGTGTGACTACAGATAATAGTGTACTGTACATTTCAAAAGTCTACAAGAAAGGATTTTGAAGGTTTTCACTTTCATAAAGAAATGGTAACTATTGGAGAATAAATGCTTAACCTGATTTAAACATTATGCAGTGCATACACACATTGAAACATTACATGCTATTCCATTAAGAGATACAATTTTTATGTTTCTATACACCAGTTAAAAATAAATTAAAAACAGTTGCAGGACTGTAATCCCAGCACACAAGAGGCTGAGGCAAGAGGATCAAGAGTTCAAGGCCAGGCTGGACTACAGAGTGACACCCTGCCTCAAAAAAAATTTTTAATAAATTTAAGGTAATTTTTTAAAAGAAGTAATTACTAGGAAAGAAACTGTTTCCCTCTTATGTTGCTGCTACCACTAACGCAATATAAATATATTCCAGCAGTTCTCAATCCTCAGTTTATTTTTCCCTTCGTTATTCTAATTTATCTACCTTGAAGACAGAAAAAACTTATTAATACATACGTATGCTAGAAAAAGATGTCTTAGCATGGAAGAAATTCTAAGCTTAGATTACTCTACTAAATTAAGAGTTGAGTAAAACAAAGAACAAATCCATAATCATTCAAAATTAGCAGTACCTCATCAAATAGCTTTGAATAACAATGAGTCAAAATATACACACTAATGCTGCAGTGTGTTAAGAGTCTAACATAATCCCAGTTGACTTAGGACAGCATGTAAAGTCCTTTACCAAATGTTCTCACTCATTCCCAACTGTAATCATTACTTCATGCTCAGTGACTTGGTTTAGTCAGTGCAAAAAAAACCACTAAGTACCCCCACCCACTCACTGAATAATACACATTTCTAAAGTCAAAACTACTATAGAAGAATTTATATTTTGAATCCATTTATTTAAATTTCCAATTTTTTCCTTTAAGAACTGGAATAATTCTGACAAAAAGATCCTAACAACTATATCTGTAAAGACTTATCACTGTAAAATCAGCCATTATCCATATGTGGTATACATATACAACAGTACTGAGGAATGGAAAGGTGGATACAGAAAGTCAAACACAAGGTGAACGGAGAGTGTCATAAACCTTAGGGTGAAATTTAGCTTAAAACATGGATGTGAACCTTGTCCTGTTTGCTGATGTTGTACAGAAGCTATTTGTAAAGTTAGGCTACAGGAAATGTAACATCCAGTATTATAAACTATTTTTTAGAGAAAGTCTAGAAAAGTTCCTAGCAATATTTAAGGAATTAGTTATAGTTCCAGAATTTCACCTTTGCCTATTTCATTTGTCCACACCAACTGCAATCTGCTTCCCATACAAATATACAAAATGCACTTTCCCTACATGGAAATCCATTCACAAAAAGCACAAGTTCTCATTTTTACTGAGAACTTAGTAAGTTCAGATACTGTTCTAAAAGCTTCACCGTGTATTAGCTAACTGATAACGAGCCAATGAGGTAGGCACTGCTACACTTCATTTTAAAAATTAAAACTTGGCACCAGAACTGAAGTAAGGTCTGGAGCCTGGAAGCTACAAGGTCTGGATTTGAACCTGGCTCCAGAGCACATTTTCCTAACAACTACATCAGAAGTTGTTTTTCTATACAACGCAATATCTCATCATGAAAAGAACCACTTCAGTTTTTCTCCATGAAAATATATTGTCTTATATAAATATTGGCAGAGGGGTCAGAAATGACCTCTTGGTGACATAATTTGCCTAGGTAAGGATATGGATAGATCAGAGGTTATGATAGAAACTTGGTCTCTGAACAGCCATGAAAATACAACAAGACAAGCTTTGATGACTCAGTGCTCTCCAAACTTACTTGCTTATGCATTTCTATCAGAAATACACAGCCGCCACGCAACACAGAAAACTGCATGCATGTACTATCATCAGTTCACACATTAATGTTAGCAAATCTTAATTTCTAAATTCTGGTATGAGAAAGAAACACAGCATGTGGATTATGGGAATTCTATTATGGAGGCCTGGGTTTTAAGTTACCCACATGCAGCTCCTTGACCTTCAGCAAAGTGTGATTGTGCACTGACAGTTCCAACTAGGGCAGAGTGAGCCCTGTGAGTGGCCTACTCCGCCCCTCCACCCAGCTTTGATGTTCTTCAACAGTGACTGGTGAGGAATCATGAAGGCCTGGTGTCCTGGTCGAAATGGTTGTGATTTCCAATAAATAAAATACTCCAGTGCTAGAGTTACACAATGTTTCTGAAAATCCAAGAGGCTCAAGAAAACAAAGTTTCTTAGCCAGGAAACATTATATAGATGATCATGTATATTGCTATATAAGATGTGTTATGCATATTGACATGTGTACACACAATCATATATCAATATCTAACACTTATATTATTAATCTTGTAACAATATATATCATGATATGTACATAAGATACAACGAGTGTATCCTGAGACCTTCAAGTACCACTATTGAACTCTCCCATTCATCTCGTATCCATTGACTATGTCCTGGGGATAATGATCAGCAAAACAGATACAACCCACACCTCAGGAGGAGTCACCTGTTTATATGTACATTCAGCCAGCACACAGGATTCAGGCATGGCTCAGTGCTGAACAACACGAGTTACTTCTCTTATCCAAGGACTTACAAAGTAAGAAACATTCTCAAGTGTTCAGGGGAGTTTTAGTATAACTCTGACTAAAGGAACAAAGTAGATATCCTCTCTGATTGTGGCTTATAGCCTTATAGTTCTGTTTACAGAAATTGTTCCCTCTTACTACAGAGTTCATTTAATGTCACCTATGGTCAATTAAAGCCCACTTTAAGGCAGAAACCAGAATTTATTAGGAAGTGAAAACTCGTAAAAGTGGCATTATCCAGCCACAAAGCTTTACAGAAAACAGCAACTATGTATATTGTATTTAACCAAAATAAATCTGTATTTTTGTTAAAATTATAAAGTAATAATTACCACCAGAAGCACCTGTTGAACAGTTCAGTCTCATTTCTAGTATGGGCCTAGGTATAATATCTACAGCTCTGGTCACAAGCACGTTCGAAGGAGATGGTATTAGAATTCATTCTGCTTCTAGGAACTCCAGAAGTTAGTACAAAACAATACAGAGAAATTGTAAGTGTCTAAGGAAATGCTAATTACACTGATTTGATCAATATATATTATACACATGGAATTATCATACTACTCTCCCTTAAATATACACAACCATGTGACATTTAAAAAAAAAAAGCTTTAAGTACAAACATACTACAAATGCTTGGGCTGAGATTTAACTCAGTGGTACAGCATTTGCCTAGCATGCATGAGGCCCTGGGTTCGGCCCAGTACCACCCACCCCCGCCTCCAAAAAAAAGAAAAAGAAGAAAAGACAAAAAAAATACAATGTTTCTTGGTGACACTGACATTTTTAAAGATGCCAACTCATTGGTTTCCTTTGGAAACAGGGCAGCAATGTCTCCTTCTCACAGCAGGATATCTTGCCAAGAGAAGTAGAGCCGTGGCCCAAAGCTGCTCAGTCAGCCCAGAGATGAGCAGCTGAGGACTTCATGGAAGACAACCACATCAGAACAAGACTTAGATAAAAGGTGGGCAGGAACACCCAGCCAGAGAAAGCAGACAAACTGTACAGCAATCGAACGTGACCCAGAGAGTACAGGTCTGAGTTTCTGGTGCAGACCCACCTTCAAGTGAAGAATTTCCCAGGACCGTCCAACCTAGAGGCAGCTCCAGTTGGCTCAGAGCTAGCACGAGTTCCTCATCCAAGGCAAGCAGTGCTCCGGTGGCAGGGCAACGGGGTCAGCAGGGTCTGGTGGCTACAAGCTGTGAGGCGGTCAGCCTGGGTAACCAGCAAGCGGGGCCAGCCTGCAGGCCAGGTTGTCCATATAGGTCACTGAGCCAGAACCCATGGTCACTGGCGAGTAACCTTCTGAGCAGAGGCACACAGACACTGTCACAGTTTCCTGAAGTTGGTGGCCTGGATGACAAGAGAGTGAACAGTTCAGTCCAAGTTTGCAGGAGGCACTTGCATGGTGGCTCCCCTACTAGCCCGCAGAACTGCCTGGATGGAACACAGTCTCCCAGAGGACCAGCAGATAGGAAGCCCACCATTCTAATGGTGCCATGCCTGTGGGCCAACTGAGGTTAAAAACATCCTTTATGAGCTCTGGATCTGGGAAACTTGGTATCTGTTTATCACTTCTCGTCACCAAACCTGTTGCCATACCTTCACCTTTTACTCCTCACCTACCTCTGATTTCCAGTCTGTCATTTTAAAGGCTTTTGCTCTTTGCTGCTCTGCAATTCCCTTCTAAATCATATATTTTAACCTGTTTATTTTGGTGACAGTTTTATAAGACAGCCCCCCAAAATTATACAAGTTCATCCTAAATCCATAGAACTCCTTTGAACATGGACTAGAATGGGTAAAGACTACTAAACAGGAAATATATATTCTTATGCACACATACACAGCTTTATACATATTTTCATGAACATACTAAACAGACAGACACATGTATGTTGTTCAGTACCTCCACCTTCTCATAGGTTGTCTCAATATTTTGAACATGATTGGTCACCTAATCCTGCTCCCTGTCTCTCCTATACTCCTCTTCCTTGCCTCACTCTCTCATTTTTGCCAAAGTTGAGAACTTCTGCCCAAGAATGTTTTTTCTGCTGCCTTTGACAGAATTTCCAGGAATTGGTAGCACCAACCACTGTGCTTATGATACCCATGGCTGGATGGAGATGCTTTACACAGCTACCACTGGCCCATGGAGCTCTCTTGCCCAAGCAATGGCTAATGTGTACAAGTCATTTCTTGTTCTGCCTTACTCACCAAAGCTCTTCCCCAAGGCTATGCTGTCAGAGCTTGAAGGATCCAGAGCACCTCAAGTTTACTAAGAGAGAGCTACTGCAATCCTCACATAGACTTTCTAAAGGAGGGGCTCAGAAGGTGCCCATGCCTGTCAATAAACCCAGCATGCACTACAGAAGCTACTTTCTGTATCTCAGTACAGAAGTCTACTGGGGAAAGTTGCCACCAGGGAAATTTAAAGTTCAGAAATAGAGACTGTCGCCATCTCTACGAAACATGTTAAAATGAAGGTAAGAACCTTCCCTTTGTGCCACAACCCATCAGAAGATTGTTCCTTAACATAGAGGAGGAGAGTCTCTCCATGGAAGTAAAGAAAAAAGACAAAACAGAAAGGGCTGATATTAGAACTGGCACTTTTAGTTATTACTTTTGGTCTTTATTAAAGCTAAATAAAACAGAAAATGCCAAAGCAAAAGGACAGAAAGAAAAGGACCAGGAGCCAAATTAACTTGTGCCATTAATAAATTTGACTTTCTTTCTTATATGAATGGGGTTATTAGGATAGAGAGAAAAGTGCTTAAAATTTCCCATAATCTTGGAAATGGGACAATAGATTAATTTAATGACAAGACAAGGCAGAGCTTAAAAAGCATCTCACTTCTACACAGTTCCCACTGTGTTATCTACTGGCTCACTGTCTGCTGTTTAACCTTTTTTCCACATGCAGCAGATACACTATAAAAGCACTTAGGAATCTTGTTCCTTAACAATGAGGCCAATATCACCTATAAGAAAAGCTGAATTCTCTACATGATACAACTTAAGAGGACCTGAAAGACCCATGGTTAAGAAAAACCAACCAATCAACAAATAACACACAAAAAACCCACCCTGACTATCCTGCAGGCAATGGTACTTTAATTCCATTTTAGGTTAAGCATGGTGTCTCTCAGATGCACAAACCATAAACTCAATGAAAATTCAAAACACTGTACCTGAGAAGAGCTCACAATAATAGATCACCATTATATTAACTTGTCATTTGTCACCACCATATTGAAGAGAACAACTTTTCACATGTGAACACTTTGGGGGTGGACAGAGAAAGTGCTAGAGCCTGGGTTCTAGTAAGGAAGATTCTGGGTGGACAGACATCCCTAGTCATCAAAGGGAATAAGGTAGAAGCAAGGTGGACTTGGGGCTGCCAGCTTGACCACAGGAGAATGAGGAAGGAGAGCAAATACAAACTGTCTGTGCCAGCTCTTCCCAAGCCAACCCTGGCAACAGGCCCTGGGACTGAGGTGTGACACTAGAGGCACAGAGTTTCCTCCATTTGACTACACCTAAGTATACTGAACCCCGGAGACCTGGGTGCAGTCAGCAGGAGGGTTTTCCCAGAGTGAGTCAAGCCTCCAAATGAGCTGCAGACATAGCTAGAAGAACTCTATGTGTGAGATAAGGAGTTGAAAGAGATCTGCTCGTGGGTACACGTGTACACATAGACGCACCACATGTAAACTTGGAGTGCTTTTTCTTTTCCTCCTGGTTCTCTCTCCCTGGCTATATCCCTAGGTGCTTCCAGACAGATTTCCACTGCACAACAAAGAGGCCACCTCACCTGGAATGCTGGATTGGAGAACATTATCCTCGACGCGCTGGGCAATCACGACGTGCCTTGATGAGACCTCATAAATAAAATAAAACTCAGCATCTTCAGGAAGATAAACATTTTTTGCCAACTTTGCATAGATGGTCGTCTGCCCCTGAAACATGAATAAGTCATTACACTTCCTCGTCCTGACTCTAAGAAGCCACAGTGAAGGGCATAGGTCCAAAACATTGTCACTTCTATAGTCACTTCATGTGATTGAGCTCAGATATCATGAATCCTTTTCAACAACATGTCTGACACCAGGAAAGATGTTTCCTGGTATGTTTCAAATGGAGTCAGGGCAGTTCTGTTTTACCTTTATAGAAATTCAGGGGACAGAGATTTTTTCTTAATTCACTAGATTAGTAAGTGTTATAGTCTACTATCTTTTACTTTGAATTCCTGTTTGTCAAACATCATTGCTTGTATTAATTTTTATCCTGCAACCTGAAACACTACTATTAGTACAAAGGTCCACAATATTTATTCTTAGTTCTGGCCTTACCAGTTACTGGATCACTGTAAGTTGCAGAACCTTAAATATTTGCAAACATTGCCAAAAAAATCAATGCCATGTCCCACACGTCCTATACCAGTTCCATTTGTGCTTTGTCTTCTCTGAGGGATTTCCAAGTCCTTCTTTCTCATTCCACTGCCCTCACACTTTCTCTTAAGAGCTTCAGGCTGGCAAAAAGCCCTGCAAAGTCCTGAGGAAGAGCTACACACCAGATCGCTGAGACACACTTTGAGGACAAGTGTCAAAAGACTGGGGCAGCAGGCTAGTGGTCTTGAGTACGATTTTTGCTGAGGCTTTGGGAGGGGGGAGCTGGCTAAGTCAGCAAGCTACACCCAAGGTTGTTGCAGTGAGGGATGAGCCTGCCAGAACATCTCAGGAGTCCAGAGGCTTTGAGGGATTCCTGACTCTCTCTATGCAAAACACAAAAAAAGAGCAGAATGAGGCCTCCAGAGACAGAATGTCTCACCAGCCTGCTGGAGTAAGCAAGGAAGTGGAAACAGGGATGGAAAAGGGTCACCCACTTTGGAGGGCCTCCAGAGTATGCCAGTGTGGAGAAGCAGCTGGGTTTCTGTGTGCACGCTCAACAAAAACAAACCAGTCTCCCACCCTGAGATGGGGGAGGGCAAAGCTACCCGTCTCCTGGACATCTGTTTGCCCTTGCCTTGATGAGTGTCAGCCTGACATTCCGTTTAGCAGCATGGCACCCTAGGAAGCTAGAGTTATCCAAACAGGACACAGATCACCTCGAACAGGACTTCTCCATGAGCCACATATTATGTTCTTAAGTAAAAAGACTATATTTTCAAAATGGTTTGCAATTACACACATATGAATTTATCTGGAATTATGAATTCATATACAACAATTGTGGAGTTCTGAAAAAATCATTGATACACAATTTTGAATTGTCCTTTGCATATGAACATATGTGAACACACAAAAGTAACTGATAGAAAGCAACATGCCAAGAAAAATCTACCATACAATAGCTTCAGAAAATGCAGGAAGGAAAGCTGAAAAGCAAAGCAAAAACAAAACAAAACAAAAAAATAATAACAAACGTCTGACATGACTGAGAGAGGAAACTCAGATGAAATTCCATTTCCTAAAAAAGGAAGGACAACTTCTTTAGTCGTGTTCCTGGATGCCAAAGGGACTGTTAATTACCCACAGACAGAATTGACCTGACCTGTTCCTTTGGTTTTTTTAAAGCAGAAAACAGGTTGTATAATAGTCAAAGATTTTCTCAGATCAAAGGATATCTAATCTGTATCTATTCCAAACAATGGTCATATTTTCTCTTTCATTTAGTTGGACAAGCAGGACTACCACTGAGGATCTTAAGAGTCCGCTGCAACCCTTTCCAATCCAGTACCTCCCCAACAGACAGTCTTATATTAATAGCACCTTTTTTTCTAGAGCTTACAGCTTTACTTGGCAAAGAAGATAACACTCCTGTTAGAAGTGAGACGGTATGAAACAGAACTAGAAACCTCTTGCAATTGCTGTAAGTGGGGTGGGGAGGGGCTGAGGGGAGAGAGACGCTGGGGCAATGTAAATAATGCACAATATAAGTCTAATCAGAATGGTCACCACGAATCCTCCCTGTATAATGAATATATCTAATAAAAAATTTATAATAACTAATTTTAAAAAAGAAGTAAGATGGGTTCATTTAGGAGAATTGCCCAGAAGTTCTACAACTGAGTATGATATTCAGAATTAAAAAGAGTCTTTTCTTTGGTAATTAAAGCACCAGAAGACATGGTCCAACAGATGGAGAGGAAGGGAAAGGGATAATGATGCAGAAACCAAAGAGACAACAAACGAGATAGAAGGAGGTGGAAAGAAAAGGAAGCAAAGAAAGAAATGGAAGACTGCAGAACAAAAAAAGGCACATAAGGCTCCAAAGATAGAGCAAGATGAGCTCTTAGAGATCACAGGGAAATTGAGCTTCTGATAAAATATACTAAGCAACAAGCACAGTGCAAGTAATCACAACAGATGAAGCTTTAGGCTCAATTGGGGTCTTTTGAGCACTATGGCACTTGAAAACGCTTTCATCTTAAATGGACCTTATTTCATATACGGGAAAGATAAATTCTAATTATAGAACTCCAACGTACCTTTCATTCTCCATTTGGATTCAATTGCATTCTTTGCTTTGAGCAGTTGAAAACTATTACTGTCCTAAGTAAATTTGTTTGCATTGATATAGAATCACTGCTTTTTATACAGAAGCAACAGAGATGTGTTACAACTTTCTATAACTCACTAGGTTCCAAGTATGAAATTTGCACTATTTGACTGACATTTCTTGAAATAATGAGGCATGCTAGGCAATTGGCTTCTCGAATTAATCTATAAATGTAACCAAAACCCAATCAGATATTTTCAAATGGAACTAGACAAGCTTTTCTAAAGTTCATTTGGAAGAGTAATAAGAAGAACAAAAGCATAGAGAATAATGTTTGAGCTTGAGGAGGGGTCAGAGGTGCCCTACCACAAAGCAAAACATAGACTAAAACGAGAGTTATAAACAGTGTGACAATCGCCCAGAGACAGACCCCAGAGTCCAAGGAATGATATTGTAATAAAGAGGACATTTCAAACCAAGTGGGTAAAGAACAAGTCTACTCACTAAAAGGTTGAGGCAATAGTTAACCATTAGGGCAAAATACCTCCTACCAAATAATTAAACTCCATATCAATGTTTAACTCAATAATGCATAAAGATGTACAGTTAGATTAGCCAAGTCTTCATTATTGAACAATTATATCAATTAAAGATATGGAAATTTCATGTACCTTGTGCCAATACTAAAGCACGATGTTTTTTTTCATTCTTTCTGTTGCCTTGCAGGCAAAAATGTTGTTAACTTTCATTGTCACATGTACTGATCAACAGTATGGTTTTTTTTGTTCCAACTTTTGTCAAAACTATCTTTCATATTATTTGTTGGATTAAATAGTAACCGTACCTCACTGACTTAATTCATATTTTTTAATTGCTACTGTGAGATTTTTTTGCCACACTTAGAAAAGCTATCTTTAAATGGCACACACATCATTATTGGCCAGTGAATTGTCACTTAAAGAATCCTAGTCTTTCCTCTTCTACTTCACTTCTGAGTTCACCGTTAAGCTTTGCCCTTGATAGGTCAAATTTTCACTTTGTTATGAACCAGTTATCTTTCTGAAGAGTAAGGTGCATCAATTTTTTATCTGCTCACACAAATAGGAAACACCTTCCTATACTCCCTGTGTGCTCTATGTGTATATTGAAGGTCAAGTAACATGGAAAAAATGAATAACAATGCAGAGTGGAAAAGGTGAGCAAACTAGAATACCTACTAATACACTTCAATACAAACAAAAATTAGTGAAATGGTCATGGACAACTAATTTGCATGTCCTTAAGAACTTATTTATTAATCTCTGTCTCTAATACTTGGGGAAACGTGGCTGACTGAGCTTCACCGCTGGACATCCTGCACTATGTCTTGCTTCCTTTCTTCTTCTCAACACTCTAGGTAATGCATCTGCATAGAGCTATACTTCATTAATGACAGGGTTATTTGCTGAATAACAACCCTTATTTAGTTTCTAAAATATTCGGCATGAGCTGGAA